CGTAACCTTCAGCCGACAGTCGCTCTCCTGACAGGCCGGATGATGACATTATGTATTTATACCTGCGGTAAATAGGAAGGGGGCGATATCTTATCAAGATTTTTTTTTCTGCTTAAGAAGACTAATGCATTGTGATGGTGTGAGAAGAAGGATCCCACATGTGGCTCAGACTTTTCACTTTGAATTTACCAGACTGCAGTCAGCACAGACTTCAGCACACGGGGTCCACAGGGAAGCGTTACCACAAATTGCTCATCCTACCACATCACCCTCAGTAACACTATGTTGGCTACTCATCAGCTGACATACAGCCCTAATTACATGTACGCTGCATGCTTTTAACACTAATATGTCTCATGTGGACCTTAAACTGATTTGTCAGCACTTTTTTGTTAATTAATTTTGGATCTTGACGAAGGGAAGACTGCACACTTAGGTCCAATGAATTTTCAGTCATCACAGAAATGGAGGAGAAATCAATACAGGAAGTGATGAGGAAATTTATTTAAATTGCTTTCAGATCTGATTAATCCCAGGTTTTTGTGAAATGATGCATCTGTTCGACCCTGATATTTATCTCCCTCTCAGCTTTGGATGTTTGGTCTTCTTATATGGAGAGAAATAAGTCTTTATACTGGTTACAAAAATGTGTTTTAAGGTGTTAATGAATGCATTTCAAAATCTCAAGTCAAGCCCAACCAATCCACATTATGTCACAGGAGTTGGTTCAGTTGTTTTTGAGTAATCCTTCTGACAGTACGCTGAAAACATCAGAATGGCACTCAGTACCACATACATCCGCTAAGGCATAACCGCCGCCTTATGAAATCACATTTAAATTCACTAGATGTGGATTTTGATTTGGATCTGCACCACTGCACAAAATCATAAATATTGATTGAAGTTTTGTTGTTATCTGTCCAGCAGTTTTTCGGTAATCCAGCCAAAAAACAAACGTAGATGGAAACAAAACCTCTTCAGCAGTGGTTAAAAATACTAATGTATTAGATTGGTTGTTTTTTTGTGGATTGTTTTATATTATATACAATTTTGAACACCATTAATTACGCAAAAGGTATTTTTATACACACATTGAAAATCATTTTGCATTTATCTCAGGTATAGTAATGAGACTAATCCCTCTTCTTGAGCTGCAGCATTGTGTTGTAATTGCAGTAATCCTCTCTTAAGTACTGATTCATCAAAAGTACTGATTCATGATCATATCTAAAATGTCAGTGGGGTAAAATGCCTATCAAAAGAAACTACAGTATTTTATCCAGTCAATGGTCACAAACCCAAAAATATTCAATTTGAGTAAAAGTGATAGAAAACAGAAAATCTAGGAATGACTGATCCAGCACTGATGTCAAAATGTCCACGTTCATACCTGAACACAGAAAGAAAATCTGACTGCAGATTCCTGACATACTGTATACACTGATTAAAAGTATTATCCCTTCGGGCTCCTGTACAGTGTGAAGCTCTGTATGTTAGCCTACATGTTATTCTACAGACAATCATTGTTTCTCTATAGCCTATTCTATTCTATTTTAAAGTTTAGTCTTCACCTCCAGTGGCCCTTCTGCAATCTGCAGTTACAGCCTTCTATGAAGCAAATGATCCTGCCACAAGGGGCAGCAAATTAACCTTTTCCACAATTCCCATTTGTTTCCATAAAAGAAGGAGGATTTATTCGAGGAATTGAAGCTGTAAATATGGATCCAGAGAAATGTTGATTACAATCAGTTCGGCCATTTTTTTGCCCTTACCCATTAGCTAGGATACAACTGGGATTGTTAACGTGGGAAATTCTATCACCTCAAATTAATTTTGATGCAAGCAGCAATTGACAACGTCTGTTTGGATGAATAACACATGTTCGTCTGTGTTGGTCTCACTCAGGCAAGTGAAATAAAAGATAGGAGCGGGATGCAGAGCGGTGATGTTTAGGGAAGCTGACATTTGCACCTCCAATGTGATGCCTCTGAGCAGTCAACGTGCATATGGAGCGTAGGGATGTGAGCTGGAGAGAGAGAGGGGGGATCGAAAAGGCAGAAGAGTTCCCCGGGCGAGCATTTACAATCAGCATCGCCCAGGAGGCCTGCACACACTACACACCCTGACATTGCTCCGGGAGGAGCAGCCACAGTCAGTTTGACCCCATCTCAGAAAAACAAAACAGTCAAACTCAGCAATATTCTGTGTGGAGAGGTCACGATCTGATACTCGCTGTGAATGTTTTTAATGTTCAAAAAGAAAAAAGAAAAATGCAGTTTCTGTACTTTCTTGCTGCCCCTTCTAAGTCATAGCTGTTTTTGTCAGTCAGTCTGCAATGTACTTCTGCAGAGTGAGCGCTTCTTGCTTTCATGCTACTTAAATCATTCCACTACGTCAAGTCGTCCTGTTCTCTCTGTGAAGAGACGGGTACAGGCAGCTGCAGACCCAGACCCAGCGTGAGTCCAAGAGAGACGGAGGCAGCTGCCCGCTCTGCATCCAAGATGGAGTTATTTTTGCTTTCTGCTTGCAAGAATTTACAACTATCAACAACTCAATATTATATACTCTTTGACTTTTATTTCATATCGTCGGCAACATTTTTTTTTGATCCTTTGTAAATTGGCACAAATAAGCTCTGAGAGGTAACTTAGTTCGTATATACTTCTTCATGTTGCTGTCATCCTGAATGTGCTGCTGTCATTTCAATAAAGCATCAC